CTGACATTCGATTTTGCTAGCGAATGACTAGTGTTCTTGAAGACTGTGGTATTTGCATTAAATTTTCTGATGAATATTTTATTTTTTAAAATTGCTGTGTATCTGCTGTGGAATTCTCTGTATACTACCACTCCTTCCCCTCCCTCTACCTCTCCCCTTTCGCCTAAAGATTTTTTTTCCCCACGTTAGAGGAAAGCCAACAGAGATCTAAAAAAAATACAGTAACTGAGCTTGAATTCATATTGACAAATGTATGCTAATGCTGGCTAATTTTTAAAATGCTTTCCTCTCCAAATATTATGAACCCTTTACCTCCCCTGACACAGTTTTCCAAGAATGAAAAGACAAACAATAACGACAACAACAATGACAACTAGAAGAGTGGGCTGGCGCTCCGAAGGGCAGCTGTGTCTCACACCAAGAAAGTCTCATGAGCTCAATGTACAAACACCAGGAAAAAGGGTTCTTTCTGTGCTTCTTTCAGAAGCTATTCAATTGTTTCCCTTCCCTTATTAGCTCCCCAGTTATAAAAAGAAAATGTGTACTTGTCGCTACCAAGCCCAATCTAACTCGTCCTGTTTCCAGAGTAAACTTGTATTGAAGGTGAAGTTTTCCACCTCAAGGTCATGCTTATGAGTCTGGAGCTTCATGGTATATTATATACATTCAAATCTGGCCTTTTGGACTTCTTTCTTGACCCTGCTCTCCAACCCTCCCCAAGCCCAACCCCAGACTGCCTCCCCCTCCTCCAATTTGTACGGATAATGAGAATGCTTCCTAATCTATACTCATATGTGCAATCTACAAGAGGCATCATCCCCATGGCTGGGGTGCTTTCTGAAAGAGCCTGGTACAAGGCTGCCCAGCTGCATCCATGCTCTCCTGCTTCCACAGGAGCACAACCTGAACCACATTAATATGCTTAGTTTCTTTTGTGAGTTCTTCCTTGCTTGGAAAGGGGTGTGTGTGTCCTGGGAAGACTCTTAAGAGTTATTATATTTTTTTAAATCTTGTGAGAGAGGAGAGCCATTGTGAACCTCTAGGTTACAAATAGCTGAACATACAAGTAAATCCAGCCAATCTGACTTGCCTTTTGAAATTAACTGAATTGCCTTCTTCGGAATCAAGCAATGTGATGCATAAGGTAAGGTGGCTGATTGGAGTACGAAAGCAACATAAGGAGACATGAACTTAGTGTCTTGTACTACTAACCTGACAAGGTAATGGAAACCTGTGTTTCCTTGCTAGAGCTGGGTGTGCGGACTTGCTAAAATTACATTTTGTCTACTTCTAAATCAGGCTCCTCTCCAGGACAACTTTTAGCTGCCCTAGCCTAGTAGGGTTAGGTAGCTATTATTATATTTAAACCATATCTCTAGAGGGGGTGGGGTAAATCAGATCTGGGGTCCCAGCAGTGGACTTCAAGATCAAGGCGAGGACAACACCAAGCTGTGTATATAGCCCAGCTATGAGAGAGCAGGTTTACCAGTGGTAACTTTGAATTTAAGGCAAAATTCAGTCTATGAAAATAAGTTACCAACTATTTGCAACAGTAGCTTCACATGGATTTATTTTTCTCCCATGTCCAGATGGGGTCGTCTATTGAATGAGGCTCTTTTATTTTGCATGGGGCAGGGGATTTGTGACCATGGTCCCCCCTTTTATTCCTCTCTCTATGGAAACCCAGATCATGGGGAGAAATATGCAAAGCTAAATAAAGAGAAGCCACAGAAAGGAGCGCTTGAGAGCGGCATCTGTTACACTTGGGAAGTTAGACTGACAGGAGAGGGCGAAGGAAACCTCTCCAGTAGATTAGTTAGAACAGCAAGAAGATTTGACTATATGCAGATATTTTCTTCAGAAACAAAACACCTTACTTGCATGAGAAGATTCTATCACAGCTGTTCCAGGATGTCCTTGCATGTGAATTTAATAAGGGATATCTATATTCATGGGAAATATTTTTTAAGCAAATCGGAGAGTGAGAGAGAGACACAGAGAAAGAGAGAAATCAGAGGGAGGGGAGAAGGGAGGGAAAAACAAAGAAAGGAAAGGAAGGGAAAACAAGTACTTTGGGTTTTGCTCCTGACAGAAGGCATTCTTACATTAAAAGACAGCAAAACGAGGATGTCAAAAACCTGTCGCTGGGTATAGATGCCTCCTATTCGATGCCCCCCTCTGCCGCCCCCTGCAAGCCTGGGAACAAATGGTCTGAACCTTTTTTTCGTGTCTGGCGAAACCAGTTGCCCAGAGCAGAGGCCAAGGGCAAGAGGAAGGTTGATTGTAAGGACTCAGGCAAATCAGTCTTGGAAAAAGACCCCCTTCTTCTTCATGCAAAAGCCTTATCAATTGATAATTGCCTTAACCCCCTGAATGGTCAGACTAAGATTAGCAACTCTTTCACCCAAACGCAGCTGCAAGGTGGGGGTGGGGAACCCACCGCCGCTGCCGCCAACAACAACATGGCAATGATCATGATCTTTTTGCTAGTATGGTTTCATCAATGTGCTTCCTTCTGACCTCTAAAGTGATCCACAGACTGGCAAGTGAACCCTCGATCAGGCAGCCTAACAGAGCACCTGAAAAGTTTTATTTTTCGTTTGATTTTAACAAGTTCTTTTTTTCTTCAGGAAGCAAGAGTCCAAACACAAATGAGGCTGCATTCTTGCAAAGGAAGATACACACAGTTGGCAGTAAACAAACGACGTTCCTAAGCAGAAAAAGAAGAGGAGAGGAGAGGAGAGGAGAGGAGGGAGGAGGGAGAGAGGGAGGGAGGGAGAGAGAGAGAGAGAGAGAGAGAGAGAGAGAGAGAGAGAGAGAGAGAGAGAGATTGATTCTAGGTTAAAAGCAGATAAACCTTTACAATAGGGCACCGGCAAATGAAACCACAATTTCAGTGAGGGAGGAAGAGGGGGGAACATGGTAAACGATCCTAGCTGCCAATAATTACTAAGTGTTTATCTTTTTTTTTAAAGAAAGAGAAAAAGAAAGAAATATATCTCAAACAGATGCTCAGTTTTCCTCCCTAATAGACACAATTTACATTTACCAACATAAGCTTCTATTGCTCTGTGCTCTCACAAGTAATTACTTATTTCACAGGAAATAGATGCTCTTTAGCTATATAAAGGAATGGCAGAATAAGCTCACCTTGTTTTTATTTTTCTCATTTTCCTGCATTTTCTTCAGATCTGTCTTCTTAGAGAAACTAATGCCTTAATGACTTTCTGGTAGCTGCAAGCCTTCTTTTATTTCTGCTAAATATATGAAAATGTATGCAAATTTAAATCAAGCTTAACCTAGGAGCTCTTGCAATATATTTAATGGAATTTCAAACCAATAAGGGAACTCTAATGCTGTCTTCTGTGAGTGCAAATATAATTACGCAGCTAGGTTACCTCCAAAATTATGCAATGAAAGGTCATTTTTTAACTTCAGAGATCGCATTGTGTATCCAGTGTTTCCTTATCCTAGCTAGAGCAAATCTTTGTATTTCACCGTACTCTGCTTACAAGCAAAACCTTTGCGTGGGGCTTTTTAGCAGACAGACTTATCCTCCCCAAACTTCTAAGAGCTTAGGTGGAGTACGAGTATTTCTCCCTTTCCTCTAATCAAAAATTAAAACACTCCTGTTCTCTCAAGCTGAAAACTAACTCAAGCTTGATGGGGATGGTGGGGGTAGTGGTACTTAATGCCAAACAGTCCTCTTCTCTTTTCTCTTCTCTTCTCTTCTCTTCTCTTCTCTTCTCTTCTCTTCTCTTCTCTTCTCTTCTCTTCTCTTCTCTTCTCTTCTCTTCTCTTCTCTTCTCTTCTCCTCTCTCTGGCATAGTAAATGATTTGCATTTACTTCAACTTGTCTGCGATGATGGTGGGGGAAAAAGATATTTGTTAAAAACAATTTCCCCAAAGGACAGCATCAGGCACAGTGGTCAGAACATTGCCCTGCATACCTATTGGGACTAAGTCGGCTGAGAATCTGCAGTGAGTGTGAGGAAGGGCTGCCAGCTTCAGCAAGCACTGCCTCTGACAGAAGTTGTGAGACCCGCTGATGGGAGCTGACATAGAGCCATAATAAAAACCAAGTCTTCCAATTAATTAACTATTTTGGGAGGCAAACTTCAAAATCAGTGAATGTTGACAGTATCATATTTGATTTTACTTTCCCAGAATCTTCCAGTTCTTCATGCCTTAAAGCATTTTTTTTTCACCAGAAGAAACTGAGTATGTCTTAGATGCTTTCTGACCTTGGTATCGAGTTTCTTATAAATGTAAAATGAAATATATAAGCCAAAATAACTCTTATTGGAACCATGGACTTCAGTCTATAGATTCTGGTTCCTATAGAAGATGTTCCTTTCTCTAAAGTTTGTAGCAAGGTTTTGTTTTGCATTCCTCTGTACACAACTAACTAGTAGGTGCAATGAATGTGAGAAAAATCCCATATCCACTAAGATATAGATGACATTTAAATTGGTTATATTGTTTTCTTTATGTTTTTTCGTTCTTTATTTGGGTTAACCTAAATAATCTAAAATAAGTTCTAAAGCCATTTTGCCACCTCACCCCCATCAGCATCCAAATACATACACAAACACACGATTCTCCCTCCGATTCTTCCCTCCCCACCCCCCACTACCAACACAGGCAAAGTAAATGATGGTGGTAGTGGTGGTGGTGGTGGTGGTGGTGGTGATGGTGATGGTATAACCAAATAAACTGCTGCCGCCACTCAGCGCGAAGCAGCCAATGGAGCAGAAACATTTGATTCACTTCCTGCTTGGGTCTCCCTGAAACTCTCAGAGCTTCGCCAGCTTAATTTGGAAAACTAGCCCAGCCTCCCGTACCACCATTGGCTGAACCTACGGCAGGCCAGGCTGGGACGTTCTATGATTGGCCGAGGTGAGTGCCTGTAACTCGCTCTGGCTGCTCTGGCTCCCCAGCACGATAGATGTCAAAGGCTGAAGCTGCTCCCTTTGCCACATTATAACTAGTAGGGGATCCTCACCGACCATGGCCACAGCTGCGTCGAATCCCTACAGCATTCTCAGTTCCAGCTCTCTGGTCCATGCGGACACTGCGGGCATGCAGCAGGGAAGTCCTTTTCGAAACCCTCAGAAACTTCTCCAAAGTGATTACTTGCAGGGAGTTCCTAGCAATGGGCATCCCCTTGGGCATCACTGGGTGACCAGTCTGACCGACGGAGGCCCGTGGTCCTCCACACTGGCCACCAGCCCCTTGGACCAGCAGGACGTGAAACCCGGGCGTGAAGACCTACAGCTCGGCGCGATCATCCATCACCGTTCGCCTCACGTCGCCCACCACTCTCCGCACACTAACCACCCCAATGCCTGGGGGACGAGCCCGGCTCCAAACCCGTCCATCACGTCGAGCAGCCAACCCCTTAACGTGTACTCGCAGCCAGGCTTCACCGTCAGTGGCATGCTGGAGCATGGGGGGCTCACCCCACCACCGGCCTCCGCTTCGGCACAGAGCTTACACCCAGTGCTTCGGGAGCCCCCAGACCACAGCGACCTAGCCTCGCACCACTGCCAGGACCACTCGGATGAAGAGACACCAACCTCGGATGAGTTAGAACAGTTCGCTAAACAGTTCAAACAAAGAAGAATCAAGTTGGGTTTCACGCAGGCCGATGTGGGGCTGGCGCTAGGCACACTATACGGCAACGTGTTTTCGCAGACCACCATCTGCAGGTTCGAGGCCTTGCAACTGAGCTTCAAAAACATGTGCAAGCTGAAGCCGCTGCTGAACAAGTGGCTGGAGGAGGCTGATTCGTCCACAGGGAGTCCGACCAGCATTGACAAGATCGCCGCACAGGGCCGCAAGCGCAAGAAGCGAACCTCCATCGAGGTGAGTGTCAAGGGTGTACTGGAGACGCATTTCCTCAAGTGTCCCAAGCCTGCCGCGCAGGAGATTTCCTCGCTGGCAGACAGCCTCCAGTTGGAGAAAGAAGTGGTGCGTGTCTGGTTCTGTAATCGAAGACAGAAAGAAAAAAGAATGACTCCACCAGGGGAACAGCAGCCACATGAGGTTTATTCTCACACCGTGAAAACAGACACGACCTGCCATGATCTCTGATTGCAGGAAGGGAGCAAGTGACCCGCCGCACTGGGAGCAGTGCGGATCTCTCTTTCTCTCGCATTCCCTTCCTTTCACTCCAGCTTTATTATTGTTATCTTTCTAGATCTCCCTCTCTCCCTCTCTCTCTCTCTCTCTCTCTCTCTCTCTCTCTCTCTCTCCCTCTCTCTCTCTCTCTCCCCCCTTTTCTTTCTCCTCCCCCTTTTAACAGGGGATTCTAACTTATATTAAGAAAGGAAACACACACGCATTCAAGGCTTCTTAACACTGATACATGGTTTCATGAAGCAGTCCAAGCGGGAACTTCATATCCCTTGCCGCCTGAGGAACAGTTCTCTCCAACCTTTTCTGTTGATCAATATATATTGTTTACTTTGAGTAAGAATTGTTCGGTTACTCCTCTCTAGGAAGAGCAAGGAGTGGGGTAACTTGGGGTTGGGGGAGGGATGGGGGAGGGAGGTGGGAAGACAGATGTGTGCCTCTGAATAACCTTTCAGCGCCTTGGTTATAGCAGCTGTATTTCAGGTGAAATCTGTTTTACAATAGACTAGTTTTGCATTTCTAAAAACTTCTATAGCATTTCTAAATGTCTGCGGTGTTTTACTACAAGCTGTACACAATATTTGTGAGATGATTTGTATCTAATCGACCACTCCACATTATTATTGCTATTATTATTATTCCTTCATTGAGCTGATGGTTTTTTAATTGCTTAGAAAAGGGAGGGGAGGCTGGAAGGAGAAGGGTGAGAAATGTGCCTATCATTCACTCACCCCCCCGTCCCAGATCTGTAAGGAGACGAGAAGATACAATGGAAAGAGTTGTTGGTGATGATATTGACGAGATTTTATATATGTATATAAATTTATATATATATAATCTCACCAATATATATAATTGTTGTTTTGTTTTGTTTTGTTTTGTTTTCCCCTGTGAGCGGAGTGCCTAGAATGGGCAGAATAGGCAAGCTGATTGGTTTTGCAAAGTAGTGCGAAGTGGAGAGGCGATTTGGAAAGAATCTGCCCTCCCTGCCAGAATTGCGGAGCCCCTGCGGGGTTTCTACAGCGCAAATCTGGGTGCCAGACAAGGATTCCGCAGCAGCGCTCGGGTGATAGCTGTCGGCTTGAGGAGCTGAGAAGGCTTCTGAACCTACTGAGGTCCGGAATGCCTGCACTCGGAGCTCCCGGAGGACCCGGTGCCTCTGCAGGCCAACCGGCAGCGCTACCCGACCTCGGCCCTCCCAGGCGAAGGACTTTGCCTTTACATGCTATTGATTTCGCTGGAGAGGATGCCCCGGAGACGCTGGCGACAGACTGGGTCAGCACCTCACAGGTCGGTTCACCTCCAGTTCAACGCCTGCTCCTTGAATGAGAGAACTTCGGGGAGGGGTGGTGAGGGCGCTCCTCTGCTCTGTGCAGAACAACAGTGAAATGATTGGCAAAGGTCACAGGGATTTTGGTCTAGCTCCGTAGCACACCCTTTCTCCTGTATATACCGCTGTCGCTGACTCGGCTCACACGGGGAGCCATCTCCACACTTCGGAAAAGCACAGCTGGCGGAAAGTCCACGGCGACGATTGGGCTAGTTAGTGAGCGCCCCGGCGTATGGATTTCTGTTTTTTATCTCTTTTGTGTATGTGTGCGTGTGCGCGTGTGTGCAAACGTGTGTGTGTGTGAGTAGATAGTTGTTTGTATCGTATTACTATTTACAAAAAACAAAAACTACAAAAAAATCGCGCTAGGCTATGTAGAGATTCAAAAAACATGCAGTTGCTGTGGCTTTATGACTAGCTCTCAAGTCCACAGGCCAGGTCCAGAGAGACACCTCATTCCCAAGGAGCATGCATGTACTGGCTGGCCAAGCACCCAGTACCCAGCCGCTGCTTGCCAGACCTGCCTGGGAGCTTGTATGCCAGGGCTGGCCACGTAGCTTGGGCCTCCAGGCTCAGCTGTGGTAGACAAAGCTTCAAACTACCTACCTACGGACCAGATAGCCTAGGGCCCCTTGTTGAGGATGCACTAGTAAGGGCTGCCAGGACTCTGGTCCACCACACTGTGTGCCCCCCAGCCGCAGGTCCAAGAGCATGAGTTAATTCAAATCCCAGACCCTTTTTTCTTTTTTTGTCAAGTCTCTGAATTCTGTTGGTAGTTGGATTTTAGTTCTGGGATGTTTTTTCCACATTGAGTTCATGTGTTAAAACTGTTAGGCTTGTTTTTGTTTGTTTCAATATTTTTCTTTGCAGTTAAGCGCTATGGTTCAAACCTGAGTTAACCCAAATATTTCTGCCGACTTTATAATTGTACAGTTTTGTATATTAAACGTTTTTGAAGTTATTAATTTAAAGAAAGATCATTTAGTTTATTCATTCAGTAACTGATGTATAATAAACGCTATTTTCATTAAGAGTTGCTTTTTCAACTATTTTATTCAAATTGCCTATTGCAGTTGCCAGCAATTATTTATTTTCAATAAATTCTGCATTGTGCTAAAAAGGAGACTCTTTGAAAGATGAGTTGGGTGTCAAAAAGAAAACAATTCGCTGTAATGTTTGATGTGAACAGTTTTAGTCAAGGGGTTTATATTGACACAATATTTTATTGTTGTAAAAGATTAAAAACGTTTAAATAAAACATTTTTCAAAAAAAACCTGTTTTTTTTTCCCTCCTGGCTGTATTGTGTGGTAGTGTGTGGAATGAAGCGTTTAAACAGAGACACATTCCCATTAAACAGTGCCTCTGCTTTGCTTCAGGTTAGAAATCATTAGTCATTATTTTGATTCTTGATTCTTTCCCTCTGACTCTTGGCCTTTCGTACAGTTGTGTACATACATAGCAGGGCCCGTTATCATGCCCAAGCCCAGGGCCATAGTCAGGCAAAACACACCCTGAATGTTGGGAAACAAGGCAGCTTAAGAAAGGCTGACAGGGCAGGATGTTCATTTCAGGAGGTGCTATCTTTTCAAGTTCTCAGAAAGCAGTGTATCTCTCTCTAGTCCGAAAGATAAACACTTCTCTGAAACGCTGCCTCCTGAAATAGGACCCATACCTTCTCTGCGTCATTCACCTCACCCACTTCTCTTCTTTTTCTTTCCCATTCCTGCTGAGTGCCCTTTTGGTGAGCTCCTGTCCTGAAAGAAGATGACTATATGTAAGAAGTGCTGCCCTTTTCCTTGGGTCCAGAAACTGGGATAAATTGTCCACTTTGTATTGCCCTCTAAGGCTAAATTCTGTTCATTCCTCTATGAATCAGGGGGGAAGAAAATAGGATTACACAGAGACATTAGAAGGAAAAGTTTGTTTTACTACTTTTCATCCCATTTTTACATACCATTTCACCTCTGTTATTTTATCACAAGACCCTCTATAAAATAAGGGAGAATTATCTGTAGCGATGGCCGAGGAGTAATTTACTAAATCAGAACCAGTTATGTTTTAAGTCTTTGTATGTACAAGCATGCTTTATCCAACTTTTTGTTGTAGATGCATATCAAGCAATAGACAAGACATTTAACTATAATCTCCCCAAAATAAATATCCTCCACAATTCATACTCTGAAGTGGTTTTTTGTTGTACAAAGCAAAATTATTTAATAATTTAATAGGTGATGATTATCACATGTAATGTCTTACATTTTTTCAGATTGCCTAATCGTTTACAGCTGCACAGTGTACTATACACTTGTGAGTGTTGTATAGAAAATATGCTACATGTTGTGTGTATACTCATGGGCATATTTCTCTTAATAAATAATACTGATTCTATAGAGATGTGTCTACAAACACAAAATCTATAGTCTTAAACCTGTTGGTTCTCTTTTGGTTCTTACCAACTAACCTCTTTCTCTTTCAATATCGTATAAAAATTTTTGAAAAATAATTTTTTAATTACAGTTTACATTCAGTGTTATTTTGCATGAGTTTCATGCGTACAGCATAGTGGTTAGATAATCATATACTTTACAGTTTGTTCCCCCCGTTATTTTCAATACCCATCTGACACCATACATAATTATTACAGTATTATTGACTATACGTCCTATGTTGTACTTAACATCCCCATGACTGTTCTGTAACTACCAATCTGTACTTCTCACTCCCTTCAGGTTTTTCACCCAGTCCCCTGACCTCCCTTCTGGCAAGTATCAGTTTGTTTTCTGTCTCTATAATTCTGCCTTGAATTGATTAAAAAACTTATAGTTACTTGTTCTTACTAAAGTACACAGAACCCAACTACCAATGCATTCAGAACTCTTTAATGGAGCCACAAGCAGATATGTTACAAGATACTTATATAAATATAAATAGACATTTATCACCATCAGTATTTTTACTATTCATTACTGATACACATATTTGATACATATTTATGAGACTTGTTTCCTTTATTGTCTCTTTTATTTCTTTTAAAAATATAACTAAAGCTTAGTTAGCTTTTATGATGACCTTCTTACCAACCTCATTATATCATTAACATCACATTTTCATTAAAATTCAAGGGAGGTTGGTGCCTCTGCCTGGGGTTTTCTTTGTTTTGAGGTTGCCACCACCCCATTCCCAACCAAGGCCTTTGTAGGAGAAGCAGCTTTGGCCTCGGTTTCTCTCAAGCCCGTGCAGTACTGTTTTTTTCTCACATAATAATTTGTGACTTAAAAACAACAATAATGCTTTACTTTATTTACAGGGTAAAAAAAGAAAAAGCCTCATCTTCATCACCTCATCAGAGCAGTAGAAGATATTGGGGGGTGGGAAGAGTGTGAAAAAAGTAAGCATTTAGGTGCTACAAATAGGTAAATGAAGTCATATATATGAATCATGTATGCAATTGTCTATGGACAGACATAGGTTGATTGTCTATATGGCAGTGACTTTCTGAATATAACAAAATGTAAATGGATTATTAAACTCTAGCATGTATCTTTCCATCAAGAAAAGAAAAGAAATATTATGCCTAGATGTCAGTTTCTTATCCTTAAAAGGAAAAGAGTAGAGAAACCATTGTCTGCATTAGTACATGAACTGTGCTTGTCTTTAATAAAATAAAACACTGTTCCTTTGGAAGTATTTAGGATTTGCATATTTCCCTTAATCCCAAGTCAGGATGTTGTTGTTGTTGTTGCATTAGTTGCCTGTAGGCTACAAGTAGGCTTACCATAAATATCTTTCTTATTTAAATTATATTTTTAGTAAGAAGGGAAGAGAAGGGATAAAATGGAGAAGTAAAAAAGTGATTAGAGTTTAAGATGTAGTTTTCCAAAGAAAAGAATGTATTTTTCCACCTGTTGAATCTTTAAAGACACATATAGAACCTTAGAGATGAGAAATTACATGTACAATTCGATATTTAAAAATCCAAAC